TTTCAGCCTACAGCTCGGAGTTCAGACCCTCCACACTGAACTCAGTAGACCTGTCGGACAGTACCGGTCATTGGGCTAGACGAGTTGTTTAACGACCGCTCGCCGCTCATGCCCAGGTCTCCAAGTGCCAGAGTAGAGCTTTGGTCCTACTAAGCCCGTGCAGGTTTGGCAGCAAGGCCCTATCCTTCATCCACAGATTCCTAGCACCTAGGACAGAAGAGACTCAATGCAGAAAGAGTAGACAGACAGACTCAACAAGTACCGTGGGGTAAGTGCACATCCACAAGGCAAGGGGATAGGCTGAGGGTTCAACGAGATATTACCAACTCCAGCTTGGTCACAATCTTGGTCAGCAGCTTCGGTCAATGCCTTGGAAAACGCCGAGTCAACGCAAACAAGCCCCGGTCAATGCTTGGTCAACCCTTTGGTCAACCCTTGGTCAACCCTCTGGTCAACGCCCGGTCAACCCTTCACCTCGGCTATGGCTGCCGGCACCTTCACCTTCGTCACCCTTGCCGTCTACTTCCCCGTCCTTCACTTTCTTTCCCTTCACTTCCGCTGTATTATTTTTTTATTTTTATTTTTTTGTGCTCGCCCCCGGCTATGTCTGCCGCCTTCTCCAACCTCCTCCTCCCACACTTCTTCTTCTCTCTCCTTAGTCCCTCCTTCTCTGTCCTCCCTTTCTCTTTCCTCCGGCACTCTATGTCAATGCTCCGCGGCTATGGCCGCCGTCTTCCTCCTCCACCGGACTCCACCGCTCGGCTCACAGGTAAGTGACAACCAATCTTGGATCGCTCATCTCTCTCTCTCTCTCTCTCTCTCTCTCTCTCTCTCTCTCTCGTAGTCTTCTTGTTGCAGGTGCGCGGCGTCTTCTTCCACCTCGAGGTCCGCTATGGCGGACTGCCTCCTCCGGCGGCACTTCAGCTATGGCCGATCGGCCCTGCACACATCGCGCGCATGGGACAGCGGGTACCCGCTCCTATACCAGTGCAATCAGACTCGACTTCTTCACACTTGTCATGCATGCAAACAGCGAAACAGCAAACTGGCGACATGCGCCCACACAGTACTCAAAGATATCGTAACCAGGTAGGAGTTCCCTTCAAACTGGCTATGGCGACTGAGCGCCCACACAACTGACTGTTTGCACTCTGGATCACCCTGGATGTCCCACACGCAACACTCTACACGCAACACACACACACACACACACACGCTACTATAGCTATGGCAGCTATGGCTGGCACTACCCTATCGCTACACTACACTTCACTGCCCTCTTCGTCTTCGGGCGCACTGCAGACCTCCCCGCATATGTTGCTGAGGCAGCGCTTCCGCATGGCATCCGCAGGAATGAATGAATGGCTGGACGCAGCCTCTTGATTTATACTTTTGTGCGGCGTTGGTCTGCCCTGTATCCCTTGGCCCACGATGTGCACAGTCCCAGACGGTACCTGCTTGACTGGACCGGACTGGGCTACCTGGGACTGTTGACTCTACGTAGTGGACCTACACCACTTGCCCACTTGCCTCGGCCTAAACAGGGGCTGACTCCGAAAGGCCAGTTCTAGAAACTTCTACTTTGGCCTTTCGGTACTGTAGCAGCTACGACTTTGTTCTTTCAGGTAAGTAGCAGCTATGACCTTGACCCTTCAGACATCCTACAGCTACGACTTCGGAACTGTCTAGACTCCTACCCTACAGGTCTACAGTTCGATTCCCTTCTAAGCTGTGACCTACGACAATCTACCTACCACTGGCGTTTCGACAGGTCGCAGGTTCAAATCTACGGGTTGTCATCAATACTGTACACAGGTAAGATGGGGAACTAGGGATCGAGCCCTGGGATCTGCATTTGCTACTACGAACTGGTGAATACCGTTTCAGATGGTTCAACCATCGAGTTGAGGCTTCAGGGAGTGGAGTAGTCGTTGCCTCAGTGCAGAAAGGTAAGGCAACCGGTAGACGTCGTGGAGGCTCCCGGTCTAAGAGTCAAGTTGACCCCAACGCTCCTCCATGGGAGAAAGCGGGTCTAACAAAGGACGTGTGGAGGGACCGGTACACCTGGCAGGCTTGCATTCGTTGTGGCCAATACGGCCATAATCAGTTCAAGTGTCGTAATAAGAACGTGAACGAGAAGATCCCGCCTACGATGGGGCAGGCGTTGGGATCCTCCGCTCCCGTTGGTAGCAATGTGGTCAGCAGTTCTAGCACTACTCCGAGAAACGCGTCGGGCCAGTAGGAATAGTAGCTGTTCCTGCTAGGGTCGAGGTGGTGGACACACCCTCACCTTCTCGAGAGATGGCCCAAGCTACTGACTCCATCGTCGTCCCGCAAACACATTTAGACCCATCGAGCCTCTATTCGATGAATATGTTCGAATCCTTAGAGGAGCTAGAGGAGGAGTGGTCCAAATCAGACCCGATAGCTTCTTGGACGGCATTGGCTAAAGTCCCTAGGAGTGAGATGTTTGTCGGCAAGGTAGTAATTGGCGGCCGTAAGGCCGGGGCCTATTATGACACTTGCTCGACATGTAACTTCATTAGTTGCACGTGTGTTGAGAGGATGCGCTTACAGGGGTAAGTGCAGCGCCTGAGTCGACCTGTGGAGTCAACTTGTGCTAACAAACAGCGCATGACTGGGACCGAAAAGTGGTCAAACACACTTTGCTTGGTGGGGGGACCGCCAGGTTACATAAGTTCAAAGCTAGTAGTATGATCGAGTCCTACGGATGCGTGTGTGCGTCCGCGTTCTATAACTATTATAAGCAAAATCTGGAGGAGGGTATGTATCTAGTTTATGTCTCCGCAGCAGGCGAGCCGGTGAAAATGTCGTCGGAGATAGAGGGAGTAGTTGCTAAATACCCTGATCTATTTGAAGAACCGAAAGGGGTTGTTGAGAGGGAGCTTGTCCACGCGATAGAGATTTATCCCAGAGTCTAGCATCCCGAAGGGTAGGATCTATCGGATGTCTCCAGGCGAGCTTGATAAGCTTCGCCGGCAGCTCAAGGAACTCGTAGAGAAGGTTTGGATCCGGCCAAGTGTCTCCCCTTACGGATCTCCAATCTTGTTTGTACCAAAGAAGGGGGGGATTCTGAGGATGTGCATTGATTATAGGGGCCTCAATGCCATCACTGTTAAGAATCGAGAGCCCCTACCGCGCATCGATGACTTGTTAGATAGAGTGCAAGGGTGCCGGTACATGAGTAAGATAGATCTTAAGTCTGAGTACCATCAGATTGCAGTACGTCCTAAGGATCAACACAAAACTGCTTTTCAGACCAGGTACGGTCTGTACGAGTTTGTGGTGATGCCTTTCGGCCTTTGCGATGCTCCTGACACCTTTCAGCACGCTATGAATCAGATTTTTCACGACTACTTGGATAAGTTTGTCATCGTGTACCTCGATGACATACTTATTTTTATTAGGACTGTCGAGAAGCATGTTGCGCACTTAAACAAAGTCCTCAGTCTCCTTCGACAGCGCAAGTTCAAGATCAACGGTGAGAAGTGTGAGTTTGGCCGCACCCGGATCTTGTACTTGGGTCATGAGATTTCCGCGGAGGGTTTGAAGCCCGATGACGCGAAGGTGGCCAACATTCATGATTGGCCGCGTCCTCAGTCTGTGACTGAGATGAGGTCTTTCTTAGGGATGACCGACTACTATCGCAATTTTGTGAAGAACTATAGCATGGTTGCCGCCCCTTTGACAGACCTGACCCGCCTTGACACCCTATGGGAGTGGACAGACAGTTGTGAGGCTGCTTTCAGACATCTGAAGCATGCGCTGACGCATCATGAGGTCTTGAAACTTCCTGATCCTAATAAGCCGTTTATAGTAACCACGGATGCTAGCCAATATGGCATAGGCGCCGTGCTCACGCAACAGGAGTGGCCAAAGTTGAGGCCAGTCGAGTACATGTCCAAAAAGATGCCCTCTCAGAAGTTGGTTAAGTCCACCTATGAGAAGGAGCTCTACGCAATTTACAAGGCACTGACCCATTGGAGACATTACCTCCTTGGGAGATTCTTCATCGTCAGGACTGACCATCATACCCTAATGTAGATGAGAACCCAGCCAGTGCTCTTCGATGCTTTGAAGAGTTGGATCGAAGTCATTGAACGATATGATTTTGAACCCCAATATCTGAAGGGGGAGTACAATAAAGTTGTTGATGCCTTATCGCGTAGGGCTGACTTTTCTGGTGCGCTGATCACTGAGTTCGGGCTTGCGGACGATGTCACTCGCTCTTTGGTGGAAGCCTATCGTGAGGACCAGTTTATGTCCGAGATCATACGCAGACTCGAGGTGAAGGACAAGGTGACTTCTGCCGAGTTTGAGTTAGTCAACGACCTGCTATTCCTTGAGAAGGCCGGGAATAAACGTTTGTGTGTACCTAATCGGGAGTCTTTGCGTAGTTTGTTTCTAGGAGAGTGTCATGATGCCACCAGACATTTTGGCTATAAAAAGACTACAGCCAATCTGCTGCAGAGGTTCTGGTGGCCCACGATGATGAAAGACGCAAAGCTGTATGTGGAGACTTGTCAAGTCTGTCAGAGGGACAAGTCGCGTACACATGCTCCTCTTGGGCTTCTGAAGCCCGTTCCGATTCCGGAAAGGCCTGGTGAGAGTTTGTCTATGGACTTCATGGATACGCTGATCACCAGCAAGAGTGGAATGCGCTACGTCTATGTCATTGTGGATAGATTTAGCAAGTACACTAGGTCAGTCGCAATGCCGACAACAACTAAAACGGAGTATGTGATTAAATTGTTCAAAGAGAACTGGGTCAGTCCAAAATCTATAGTCAGTGACCGTTATGTGCGATTTCCTAGTGAACTGTGGAAGGCCGCAGCTGCAGAACAGGGAACACAGCTGCAGATGACATCAGGGAACCATCCAGAGGTGAATGGGCAATCAGAACAGTTGAACCGCGCTGTACAACACCTGCTGAGGCACTACATCAAGCCTAATCAGGTAGACTGGGATGAGAAACTTGCTCTCATATGTGTATAAGAGACAGGTACAACACCTGCTGAGGCACTACATCAAGCCTAATCAGGTAGACTGGGATGAGAAACTTGCTCTCATCGCCAGCCTGTACAATAACGATGTGCACAGCGCAACGGGAGTAAGCCCGAACAGTCTGCTATTGACCTTCAAGCCTAGACTGCCCTTAGATTTCWTACTACCTGAGAACCAACCWTCYGYTGCACCAGGAACCTTAGAATTTGCTTATYRTTATGAGCGTCTGATGCAGCAGGCTGTTGAACAGATGCACAAGGCTCAGGCGGCGATGATAGAATCTGAGAACAAGCACCACCGCCCGTCTACGTTTCAGGTAGGTGAGAGAGTCTGGGTCAAGTCCTCAGAACTGGGACAGGAGCATGGGATCTCCCGCAAGCCCATGCCACAGTACTTTGGACCATGGGAGGTCCTAGATGTTGTAGGAGACGAACCGGATGGACCATCGTATGTTATTCGCATCCCTGGGCACTTACGAACTTACCCTGTTTTCCACGCCTCCAAACTTGCACCTTTCGGGGAAACTGATCAGTTTCCCTCTCGTCGCTCAATGCTGCCCCCAACCATGGATGGAGAGGTCGACATCGACAACATCATTGACCACAAGGAAATGCCGGTTCCAAGACCAACAGGCAGGGGACGTCCTTCCGAACCGAAGCTGCAGTACCGAGTTCGGTTCAGACATCACACTGATCCAAAGGACGATCGATGGTTTACCAGGAGGAACTGATGCAGACCGCTCCTCAGGCTGTTGCCCAATATGAAAAGTCTCTGCAGAAGGGAAAGCGCCAGATTATTGAAGACTAAACTTCTCAGAGGACTATCGAAGTATGGAGGAGGGAATGCGAGGCCCAAGGCCCCGATGAGCCTCTTCAGCCCTGTTTTGCGTTGTTGTCGGTCGGCCGCCCTAAGTGAAGGCAGGCTCGACTCAGGACGAGGAGGCCCCTTTGTCAGGCCACCATGCAACTGGGGAAATTCAGACAGTTGCGCGGCATCAGTTGGTTACAAGCGCCCAGGCCCAGGCAGCCATTTTCCAAATGTATCTGAAGTATGCCGTGGGGGCCAGATGCGCATACGGACCGACACAGGCTGAGGGCAGTTGGGTACGGGCAACTAGCTCAGGCCCTGGGCCTGTTCTGTATGGACTGAGGCTCAGCCTCGTGGAGCCTACCGGAAGCTTCTGGGCCGCGGTCCAGTACCGCATTACAGCACGCAGCAGCAGGCCACTTCGATATGGGGAAGGGCCTGCCCACGCATTGGACATTCGGGCACTGGCTTCATGCTGCGCAAGTGCTGCTGCGCTAACGCTGGCCAGCGCTCACGCGCTCACGGGCGAGCTGGAAGGAGCAGGCAGCCATAGCCGAGCTGCGCTGCTGTATGCCGGATGGGGCGCATGGTGGTTCTTGGGTGCATGTGGCATCTGTGAGTTGGGGATCGCGGTTGTGAGTGATACGAGAGACATACCTGGTGCTTGAAGCGAACGGCATTGACCGAGATCTGCTCGTACTTCGGGGAGCTGTTGACGTCAGCGGCGGCATTGTAGATTAGCCTAGATAGGATCTGCCATCTGTAGTCTGGGCGCCGAGCGCCAGATAGGATATTGACATTGGTTCTTCGTTGATGATGATGAGACTATTCCAGCATTGTCAATTATGAGCTTTTTCTGTGCTCTTATTTGGTGAAACTCGTGATGCAATTCTGCTATTGGTTCGAGGTCACGACTATCTGGTCTCATGTGTATGATGCTGTTTGATTTCTGAAGTTCGCTATCGCTCATGTTCCTTGCACAATAGCTAGGGTGGACAATATGTTTCTTTCTTTCTTTCTTTCAAAGGTGGTGCTCACTCAACTTCAATGTTTTCCTTCACTATCAAGTGTTATTTTTTGATTCACCACGAGATAGTAATTGCATGTTTGAAGTTCACATTTCGTTAGACCACAGGTGGTGTGTGTTTCAGTGTGGTTTGATGTGACCAGCGGCCACATGCCAATAGGGCCATTACATGTCAATGAATTGGTTTATGCCGTTTTGCAAAGCTTGCATGTGCTCTAGTGTATGCAGTTGGGTGAAGTTCGCAAGTCTTGAATGAAAGTTTGTGCACCTCGATGAGGCACCTGCCATCCTATTCCTCTGGACGATTCCATTTCTGAAAGAACTTAATGCCGAAAGCCCCATGTTTTTTTTTTGGTTTTTTTTTTAAATGGCAGCTCATCACCATCAGCACGGTATTTGGCAGCCATAGTGCCTCTCATTAATGCATTGCGGCTTCTTGTTTTGGGTACGGGATTGATCAAGTATGAAGCAGGAGTGAAGGCCATTAGTCGAGCTGGCAATCCAAGGTGAGATGGGTGTGCTTACTTTGCCTTACTTTGCTTCTCTTTGCTTCTCTTTGCTTCCCTTTGCTTCTCCCTTCACTCTTCCCTCCTTCCCTCTCTTCCCTCCTCCCTTCCCTCCTCCCTCGTCCCTTCTCCCCTTGCTTATCCCCCCCCTCTTCCTTTTTCCTCTCACCCATACCTTTTCCCCTACCCATCCCTTCTCTCCTCCCCCCATACCCTTCTTCCCTCCCCCCTTCTCTCCTCTTCTCTTCTTTTGTCCTCTCTTCTCTTCCCTCCTCTTCTCTCCTCTCCTATCCTCTCCTCTCCTCTTTTCTTCTCTCTCCTCTCCTCTCCTCTCCTCTCCTCTGCTATTCTCTCCTCTTCTTGTCTCTTCTCTTTTCTCCTCTCCTCTCCTCTGCTATTCTCTCCTCTTCTTGTCTCTTCTCTTTTCTCCTCTCCTCTTCTCTTCTCCTCTCCTCCTCTCTTCTCCTCGCCTCTCCACTCCTCTTCTCCTCTCCTCTCCTCTTCTCTTCACTTGTCTTCTCTTCGCTTCCCTCTCCTCCGCTCTCCTTTTGTCTGCTACCGTCTTCTCTCCTGCCCTCTCCTGTGCTCTCCTCTCCTCTCCCCTGCTCCCCTCCTCTCCTCTCCTCTGCTTTCCTCTGCTTTCCTCCTCCCTTCTGCTCCCCTCTGCTCCCCTCTGCTGCCCTGTCCTCTCCTCTGCTTTGCTGTGCTTTCTCCACTCCTCTCCTGTCCTCCCCTCTCTCTCCTATCCTGTCCACCTGCCGTCTCCTGTCCTCTCCTCTTCTATTCTCTTCTCGCTAGCAATGACAGGCAGAAAATTATGACCATTTTCCTTGGGGCCCATCATCATGCTTGTTGATGGGCTCAATCTCTGAACACTATTCGCAGCACACCTGTGCGGTGCGCTGAGCACCGTGCAGCCATCCAGGGTGCTCGTGCACCAAGCACATGTGTGGAATGCACAGTGCGTAACACACGTTTTTGGTGCGCACTCACTTTTTATTTGTGGGGGGGGGGTACGTGTGCATGTGGGAGGGAGTGAACAAGAGAGAGAGAACAGTTCCTGGTAACACTGTTTTCTTGAGCAGCAGGCACATCGTCGCTCCCATGCTTTGGAGAGCACAGCAGGAACACTCATAATGAATGTATCCGACAGGAGTCCTCACTCGTATACATTCGAAGAGGCAAGGAGCCGATACGGAGTTCCAGGGGAGCGGAGAGCAACACGAACCCTCGTCATGATTGTGGCCCTCTCTGCACCACTCACCAAATGTGCAAAATGAGAACAAATCTTCTGCTGAAATTTGGAAAGATAGACAGCTGTAAATTTGGTCTATTCTGCTTACGGTGAGTGGTGGAGCCCTGTCTCTCTCCTGGATCGTTGCACGAGCTGTCATCATAACTGTATCTGCTGTGAATCGTTACTTGTATACATTGGACGACACAATGAGAACACTCTTTTCTTCTTTTCTTTTTTTAATTAGTATCTCGTTGACATTGAGCCCTGACCGCATTTCACGGGAAGCAGAGCTTTGTTGAGCAGCATGCACCGTCACTGTTTCTGTATCTGACCGCAATTGTCACTTATATGCGCTGTGCAGAAGGAGCCATTGTAGAAGCTCACGGGAAGCACAGCTTTCAAGGGCAGCATGAACCCTCGGCATGCCTGTATAGGACCCGAATCGACATGTATGCATTGGAGGACAGTGAGTCCTCTTTTTTTTTTTTTTTAAAGCCCTGTCACAAGTCCACTATCCTGGTGGTGGTTAGAGAACCGCCGGGATTGAGGTCTTGGCTATCGGACTGCTCCATCTATTGGTCGGGACCAGCACCTGCTGGAAACCGGGTCCAGCATCCCTTGGAAACCACTTTGCAGCACCTTATATGTGGGCTATGCCTTGGAGCTACTGTTTCCCTTGCCTCTCCGTAGTTCTGACCTAGCTCTGTTCCTGGAACTGACTACCCTTTGTTGTAATCACTACATATATAACTATCGCTAAGTTCCTGCCTGTCACAAGCAGACGATCGGGGCGCTCTGATTTTTTGCTGCGCGACGGTCCCGATCAACTGCTCATCGTTTTTTCTTAGAAGTTGAAGCGTTGCCAGGGCCAGTACCAGTCCTGCACGCCAGTGCCGGCACCACGCTTGGTACCGGGCCCTTGCACCAGAGCCGGTATCACACAAGGTACTGGGCCCCCGAGGTAGCACCGGTACTGGCGGACATTGCCGGGCCAGCGCCAAGCGGCCACACGTAACAAACTTTTTCCAGTTTTGGGAGGCGCTGCGAGAAAAACTGTGTGGCCCCACACCACCCCTGCCCTCCAATCGACTTCGACGTTTCATACCCTAGGCTAGAGCGTTCGACTTCAACCGACTTCTACGCTGCTATGCTCGACTACGACGTCGCTCTACGTTGGACACACGCGCACGTGCACACGCACACACGCGCACGCACACACACACAAGCAAGCACACACACACACACGCACACACGCACGCATGCACGCACGCACACACACACACATACACACACAAACATGGTGAGTGCTTGGCCATCAGTACAGTTCGTCTTGGGCGAACTGTCGGGGTTCAACCTCCTGATGAGTCGGTGGAAGTCCGACAAAACAGTCTGGATGAGTCATTTTGTGAGTTCTGTATAGCGAACATAACAACACTCACACATACTCAGACTCACCCACACACACGCACACACACATACACACACATGCACACACACGTGCCTCTGTGTTCCTAGCATGTACGAGCCACGTAGCCTGTGACATCTGTCTGCGCCGTGCCATTCGATGCAGCAACTGTGACTGCAAAAATTGGATGCGGTGCTTCCATAGCCCACACCCGAACCGGTCCTGTCCGGTCTGTACGGGTGGCCACTCACAGCGGTAAATATTTAGAAATCTGTGAGACCCGTCATACACCTTTCCCCTGTTCTTGCATGTCGCTCTATCCTGCCCTCCACATATTTCTTTCCTTCCCGTTGCCCCTACCTCCCCTGCCCCATACTCCTAGAGAACTCCACCTTCTATCCCTTACCCTCCACCCTCCCCTCCACCCCCTTTGTACTACTAACAAATACATACGAATGAGCATCATTAAGAGTATAGACGATATGAAGATCAGAAATGAAATGAACGGAAGTATGAAGATGAAGGACGGACACAAAGGCTGTATAAGCTGAAGATCTGAAATGAAATGGACAGGAGTATGAAGCTCTGAAGAGATGCACAGGAGCATACCTTCCCTTTTACTCTGCCTCCTGAAATAACGTGCAAGTGGGCCGTGGAGGCACACGGGGATGTGGGCAGCTGCCGCTCAACCACAATCAACATGGGCAGCCTTGCGCGTAAGAGGCCCAGTAAAAGGGGAGCTGCAAGAACAATGAAAGGGGTACCCCAAGAACAACCAAAAAACTGTCTAATTATAAAATTGCTTTAATATGTTGGACATCTCAAATGCTCTCGTTGTCTGCAATAGGATAAAGACTGCTTTGATTCTGAATCTATTCACCTGGGTGGAATTGGGGCTGTTGTGGGGAAAATCTAACACACACACACACACACACACACATATACACATATCTATACATTTATATATATATGTGCATATATATATTTACGAACATACATATATGAGAATGTTTATACACACACACAGATATATAGGGACACACGAGTATGAGCCTCTACACCTGAACGGTGTCAGCACGTTTATATGCATACATTTGGAAAGATACACAGGAAAATTTCCCCCAATACCTGCTAATGACTTACCTCAGATGAAACCCTCTTCATACGCCTAACATGGGCTTGGCTTATGGCCTGACAAGGGGTTCAGCGAAGTGGTCCCCAAACCCACCCCATGCACCCCTTCGATGATTTAGAACTGTGGCTTGAAGCTCGACACGAGTCTTAAGACCCTGTACCCGTCAAATATGAAACCCGCCTGAAGCGCGACTTCTAGCTGACACTGTTTAGGACTCGGACCTAGAGCAAACAATGTGTAGCGTCAAGAATCGGCATGGGCCGGAGGCCTATCAGGATTGATCCGTTGATCTGTCTAGTAGCAGGACCACATTGGCCACAGGACTGAATTGTTAACGTATTTGCTTCTCCATACGGGATCTGCACCTGGCCACCGGGGAATCTTCCAGAACCATTGGAAACTACGGTTTTTTTAGTGCCTTTGAGGGCCTGCATTTGCAGAGCCCTGTAAGGATTGATCCGTTGATCTGTCTGGTAGTAGGACCACATTGACCACAGGACTGAATTGTTAACATATTTGCTTCTCCATACGGGATCTGCACCTGGCCACCGGGGATTTTCCAGAACCATCGGTAACTACGACTTTTTTAGTGCCTTTGAGGGCTTGCACTTGGAGAAGCCATTGGGCCTGAGTTCGACGCTTCCCGACGACCTGACCCCCGGGCGAACAAAACAGGCGCCCGCTCGTGCCTCGATGGGGGATTACGCAGATACTGGACCGAACCTGGCCCGGTACATACACAAGAGGAGTCCACCTACGGCCCTCAGGGTACGTCCCTCCACGCGAATTTCCGCAACCCCCCGCGCATGAGATCCACTATCAGTCCTGCTATATCTTAAGTAGCATACTCGTCATCCTTCGTCTCATTCTGTGAATGCATTTGTTCTGTGCGACTGTTGAGGCTTGCGTGAACTCCCGCTTGTTTGGCTATGGCGGCGCTTGACTTGGAAGGGATATTGTACGGCGACCTCGTGGAATCCCAGAGTGACGAGGAACTGGTATATTCCCTTAACCACCACTTACCTGCCGCTGCATGAATGGAAGATTGGCAGAATTGGAATGGCTGTGTCGCGCTTGTTGTGTTGTGTAATGCAGGCTTTTGGATTCCCTCTGATGAGCTGAATGAGTGGCGTTCGGCGAAAAACGTTTTAGGGGCTGGCCACACCCTTCCTGCATCAACCTCTGGGACCTATTCCTGCCTCCTTTGAAGCTTACTTGCTGGA